CAAGGACCGCGCAGTAGGCCCTGATAATGACGCATCAGTAAATAGTTGGAGGGCAATGAGCCAGCCTGCTCCGCCATTATCCGGGTTCCAAACGTCGGATCCACGCTTTAATGGTGGGGTTGCAGGCAGGGGGAGAGTAAATTACGTACCGTTGGGCTGGTCATTTTGCAAGGACCACGCAGTAGGCCCTGATAATGACGCATCAGCAAATTGTTGGAGCGCAGGAAACCAGCCTGCTCCACCATTATCCGGGTTCCAAATGTCGGATCCACGCTTTAATGGCGGGGTTGCAGGCAAAGGGGAGAGTAAATCACGTACCTAGGAGGACGACAGGTCTGACGCCCTTGTCTATCGGATTCTCAGCTTCTTGTTGTTGAAACCGCTGACTCATGATGAGATATGGGTTATCGGTGGGGAAGGACCAAGGGTTGTCGATACAGCAGTATAGAAAATCACAGTTATCGCTCAGGATGGTCAGATTTTGACAGTGGACAGATGCAGATTGTGTAGACAGCGAAGAGCAAGAGCCTTGTCGCTATCCGCTCCGTTCGGTATTACCAAAGGGATGCGGTGAACAGCAAAGTCGATTCTAGTTGTGCTCCATTCGGTATTACCAAATGGATGCACCCTTTGCCAACGTGGAGAATGAAAGTTAGCAGCAAGATTAGTGCGCGCTAACTATCCCACAGTCACACGTAGTAAACGCGGTCACGTGCTAAACGCGCCACGCGTGGAAGATCCATTTCAAATGCGATCGGGGCACACCTTGTGATCGAAGATCATTGGGCGTCTAACCCCTTCTTTCGTCTCACCTTTCATCTCTGTCACTCTACGCTTCGTACTCCCTCCTCTGTCGCTCTTCGCTTCGTCCTCACACATCTGTCGCTCTATCTGTCGCCATTACCACCTTATCAGGTTATACTCTGATAAGTTGCGCCTACATCAAGAAACCCTCTCTGTCGTCCTGGTCTGCAGCCACCTTTCGAGTTATACTTCGATTGGTGGCCTGTATTTCGCTTATTTGCGGTGTCTATGCTGTGCTTTTCTCTATCAAAATCTGCCACGCTTTCTATTCCGCTGTGCTCTCTGCGTCAGGATTCTAGATGCCTAAATCAACGAAGACGTCCTTGGTACCTCAACGGTCAGCCATGTTTTCAATTACTGTTACTGTGATGCTTACTGGCCGATAGATGTCCTATTCTCAGTTGTCCTCGTCCTCGTGTTTTGGAGCCGCAGAAAGCACACGATCGTCGCTATCACAGTCGAAACTATATGTTCCAGTGGAATGGTGCGTTGCGTTATTCCATTTGATTTGGAATCAATATCGAGCTAGAATGTAGACCAATCAATCCAGGTTGAAAGAGATTTACGTACCGGAAAGATACCTTGTCCATGCGGTGAACCCAGCCATTCTCGCTATTCCTATTACAAGATGTATGCGATTCTTCGTACGGTAAACCACACCGAAGCTGTTGCCAGGCACGAGGATGAAGCATACGAAGATCCTCCTGACGTAAAAGAGGATGCAAGTCAGTTGCCAGACGATCAGCCAGGTCAAGGGTCATTACCATGGCATATTCATTTGAATGCCGAAACGGAGCAGACCATTCATTCTGTTGATCATGATGCACACACCGCCAAAGTTCTCGACGCTCCTAATGTTCCCAACGAACATAACTCATGCCTCATGTCCGACCCGCATATACCCACTCCCTCTGACGACCAAGCCGCTATAGACCTTTCCATGCGAGATTGTATCCAGGTTG